TAATTTAACCAGTATGTCAGCCTGCCTGTGAAAAGGAATACGGTTACTTTACCAGGTTGTACCAAGTGACGCCACCTTGTTGAGTCACAGCTGGTTGCAAATGCAGTGGTGAATATTCAGTTCTCGTTTATTGACTTTTGATGTGGTTATTGCTGGGTCAGTCACGTGCTCTGTGGAGGATTGAGCAGGTTGTTGTGGAATCCACCTTGGTCCTTATGAGCCAGAGTCCCTCATGAGGCATCCACAGATCGTTTAACAGCTTTGTTGCAACTGGTATGCAGTTTTGTAGTTAAAAATCCTCTGAAAATGCCCTGCTTATTCCTCCAAGGCTCTGGGTGTGGATCATTTGCATTTCCCCTCCTGCATCTGGGGGGCTGAGGCTGCTGAGATGCTGCAAGGTGGCACCTGATACCCTTCTCTAATCCCTCTTCACTGGTACCTTTTAACCTTTCTTGCTTGCTTTATGGAGACTGTGCTGGCGTTGTGGATGCCCGACCAGTTGGAAGCAGGTTGGAGAAGGGCCCAGTTTGTGCGGAAGAATTAGTGCCCCCATGAAACGGGCTAAAAATGGGTAATCGCAAGGAGCAGTCATGATCTTCGCTCTGCTTCTGTGCTTGAAGCAGTAAAACGATCTGTGTTCTTGCATGCAGTCTCATGATGCCCCCATTGCTTTAGCAACGAGTGAGCAATGCACCAGTGTTTTCCGCAGCTCCTTCGTCAGCTCGCCTCTTGTTCCAGTGAGCTCATCTACAGTGTGGAGCAGGGCAGGGAGCACGTGCCCTTGAGATGGCTTTTCTCCTCTGGAGTAGAGAGAGAAAATTCTCTCTTGAAAGAGAATTCCCTGGACGTTTTTGGGAGGGAAAAAAGGAGGCAGATTACTCCTCTCTGAAGCTGAACTGCTTTGTTGTTTGGGAATGATGCTTTAATCAAAGAAAGAGCAATTTTAAATAGGAAAAGAGTACCCGGCGTTGTACCCAGTCCATCACCTTGTTCTCGGCTGATAAGCCATGTGTACTGTGACAGTGTCAAGACAGAAATATGTTCCTGTATTTCACACATAGCTTTCATTCCTCACCCGCTCTGCAAAGCACAGCGGAGCGGTTGTCTCTGTTATTCCTGCTATAGTTCTGTAGGGGTTTCAGCCCAACCCTGCTGGTGACGGCCACCACCACCTGCCGTTCCCTTCCTGCCTTCTCCCCAGCTACTCACGACCACCAGACTGGCGCGCTCATGGGTCAAAAGCAGTTGCTTTTGCTACTTGTTTGTTGCTGGATTGTATTTAACCCAGCTCAGAGCCACGTTCCCGTTTGCTACATGATCGCTTTTGGTGGCCCAACAGGGATGGGCGACGAGGAGGGCGAGACGGCCTCATCCAGCTGTGGTGCTGGTTCAGGCTCAGGCTGTGTCTAGGACTGTGCTGTCAGTCCGTCCCTTGGCATGCCGTGGTGGTGGGTGTCTGGCCGAGTAATCACAGGATCAGGATGCTGGGTTAGGGTTAGGGAGAAGTAATTATGACTGGAGCAGTCTGGTGCTTAATGCTGGTGCATTTATGATAATAAAACCCCACCACCATGTTGGACTAAATGTTAAGTAGTTTGGTGTCATTTGATGCCTTGGAGAAACCTTGGATTCCAGTTTGGTTTTGTGTGGGACAAACTAATGAGTCAGACTCGGCCATTCTGGGTGTCCCAGTGGTGTTTTCCCAGCCACTGTAAAGTTTTCCACCACAACAATTTCTCTTACAACCACTGCTTGTACTTTGTCTACCTTAGCAGTGTCACCCGTTCATGTTCTCTTTTATCTAATGCTCTCCTGTGTTTTGTGCTGACTTACTCCGGGGAAGTAAAGCCACAGTTTTTCTTTGCTCTGGCATTTTTCTCATATTCCGTCCTTGTTTATTTGTGTATGAGTCTTTCCTCCTTAAGTGTGGCGCTGCGTTTTCCTGGAGGATTTCTGTTTGTAGCAGTTCTGTGGAAGGTTAATCCAAAGATTTTTTTGCTTTTCTTTTTTTCCTGCCAAAGAGGATGGTGCTTAGCATCCCCCTTGTGTGCGTAGCTACAGAGCTCTGTGTAAAGCTGGCCTTGCAACACCTGCGTAAGGTAGGTCGAGGTTGTTTTATAGGCTGGGGGGACATGTGGGAACAGGGTTCAAGAGGCATGGTAGTCTGGCTAAAATCCTAAAGCTGTCTTTGTAATGGAGTTGGAAATAGAACCTAGAGGTGGAGCTGCAGCAGGATTTTAATGCATGGAAAATACATACAAGCCTTTTAGAGACACTAAAAATCCTATCAGTCTTGTGCTAGATGTGTGGACGTTACGGTGACCGGAAAAGAGGATACCTCATTTTTTCCTTCTTGAAGTTTCTTTGTCCTTTTAGTCCTTGGTGTGGACTTTACAGGAGTGCTTTCTTAAAGCGTTTTGTCTCCAACTTGGGCAAACTCTGAGTTGCTTGTGACAGTGGTTGAGAGGAATAATGCACAACTTTGGTCTCACCTTGAGAGCTCTGAACTTATGTGTTGTTGTAGCCACTGGTTTCTGAAAGCTTGCAATAGAATATCTTTTTTAGCTGCTAAAAACTGTGTTATAAATTTGTGAAGACAGTTTGCTGCCATCCTTCTTTGTTAGTTTTGCTGTTGAGACCTTGCGTACGCGGTGGCTTTTGTATCCGTAGCAGCCCTGGCAGAGCCCAGGGGTGTTCTGCTCACTGGTGTATTCCCCTCTGAGCTCCTCAAGGTGATTTTCCCTGTGGCACTGACTACGTTTCTTGTTTGCTTGTGAAGGAAGTGCCTCTGGGAAAAAAAAAACCCCTCCTTCACGTCGCAGGAGGTGACTTCGCAGGAAGATGAAGGGAGCCTTCAGTCTGAACGTGGAATTGAAGCTGTGGTTTCCAGTGAGATAAGCGCTGCTGTGGGGGGGTTGCAGGGGGTAGTGTGTATTTGTGAGAAATCCTAACAATTTGTTAAGAGATCCCAAACGTAGTTCTTAGTGGAGCAAAGACAGTGTGGCAGGCGCCTTGACCATGCTAGTTACGCGTCTCAGTGTCGTTCCAGTTGTACGAGAGAAATCTTTTCATCCCAAGGTGCTGGAGAGGCCGCCTGGCGATGCTCTCCTGGACAGTTGGCTCCCCGCAGGCGTGGGGTTTCAGTGGTGGTGAGCAGTCCTTGCCCGCTGGGGCTCTGCGTCCTCTGCGCGTGGGATGCAGAACTTCTTCCACAAAAAACTCTGCTCTGAATTTGTGGAATACAGGTTTACTGAGGTGAGTCAAGCCCCAGGATGTCTCGTTCACGGGATACGAGGGAGCTGTCTGACTGATCCCAGATAATCAACTGCTGCAGTATTGAGGCATCCTGCACAAGTGTTGTCTTCACAGTTAATCAGATAAAATGCTCCAAAACACAATCCTGCTTGACCCATGTAAAATGTGAAATCTATTCCTAAACCCCAGTGTTCGTCCTGCTTTTCTGAACCTTAGTATAAGCATAAACCATCGTGGTGTATCTCAGGTGGAGAGGCTCTATCAAGCTAGCCGTGCTTGGAGATTATATGCAGATTAGCTTTTTAATTTGTTGCTTCTGGGAGGGGTGGGAAAAGGTTGCCTGTCATTTGGAGCACCTACGTTTTGTTATGCTGATTCTGTAGGACAGATTCTAGGTAGATTCTGGACCTGTGCTGAAGTTGATTGTTGTATCTGGAAAGAAGGACATGTTTCTGTAATATAAACATCTGGATGCTTGTAGGCTGAGCTCAGCAATAGCTGCGCACTACCATCGTCATTAAAGCACTACCATCTGTGCAGAGTAAGAAGAGCCTTTCTTGAAGCATAAAGGAAAAAAGCCTTAATGGAAAAAACAGAGCCATTCATGAACACCCTTCCATTTCAGAGTAAATTGTGCTTGCTTCTAGCTAGAGGGACTGCAAATCCTTCCATAATGCCTCCATAACTATTCAGGTGATTAGTTACTGCTTCTGTAATGACCTGTTTTAAAACAAATTTTATGCTGTCTGTGCATCGCACCTAGGGAAGCGAATGTACGTTTGGCTCAGTCCTTTCATCACGCGCGTGAAAACCCCCCACTCTGAAACTTCAAGGGAAATGGCTTGGGTGGAGCCTTTTATTTTAGTTCTCTCCTGATACTTCTCTGAAGTATTGTGACTCCAGGAAAACACTCTCAAATATGAACTTCACAAAGTCTTTCTAGGAGGAGGAGGCTACATTTGTGGTGCTCTCGTACATCTGAATCGATTCGGTTGATTTAGCAGTTAATCCAGTGCTCCAGAATCCCAGTGACGTTGCACACGCTTCGTCTCCTGCAATTTGCACTGTAGTGCATCACCTTAAAGATGAATCGAAACAAATCTGTGGTGAAGGTTTCACAGCTGAAGTTCAGTTTAGTCAGTCCCAGGGTTTATCTCTCCCAGACATCCATGCTTCTGCATTTAGAACTGTCGATGTTATTAATTAAATCCAGCACCAAGGCGTATAGTCTCTAGCACTCACAGTAAAGGTTTTGTGTGGTTCTCGCCCTGGGATATGGGAGTGAAAGAGGGGAGGGAAGGCAAACTTTGCCCAACAGGAGCCCCTCTGGCTGTGCAGGGCTTTGCAGTGGGAGGAAGCCTCATGCTCCTCTGAGCAGGTTGATGGTCTTTGTGGGAGTGGACTTCACACTGGAAGGTGGAGAAAAGAGGAAGAATTCATCAAAATTGAGCAATATTGGAAAGGGCTGACTCTTACTGCTCCCTGTCCCTTCTCTGGAAAACGAGTTAAAATGGAATTATCTCCACTGTAATGATTTATTCTAGGGCTTCCCCCCCCCGCCCTGCTTCTACTGTTGGCAGTGGCTGTGAGTAGTACAGGGAAGGAGTGAACTAGCAAGTATTTTCTATGTCTTGTGCTCTTTTATACTTGTGAATTAAAAACTGCACAGACCAGCTGTTCTCTGGAAAGCACTCATTTAGAGGTTTTTTTTTTTTATTCCCTTGTGGTTTTTTTTTCTAGGAAACTACTTTGCAAGTCACTTCTTTATGGGAGGCGAGAAGTTTGACACCCCTCACCCTGAGGGCTACCTTTTTGGCGAGAACATGGATCTAAACTTCCTCGGGAATAGACCTGTTCAGGCAAGTTCCTATATGCTGTCTATTTTACCCTTTTGTTTTCTGCCTGTTTTGGAAAATCATGTGCGGGGCTTGTAGAGGAGGATAGCACAGACCTAAGAGACCCTCCCTACTTGGGGAGTGTCATTCCGGCGTGAGGTGCAAGAGCGTTCCCCCACCCCACGTCCCAGCTTGCCAGCTGCCATAGCTGTTCAGATGCAAGCAGAGTTTTTCTAAGAAACAGTATTCACCTTCTAGGCTTATTTTCACTTAGGGCAGAAGGACGAAGTAGTGGGGGAAGAAGGACAGGGACTCAGGAGCACAGATTTTGGGACTAATTCTGATTGTTTGTCTGAGCGAGTGTAAAACATGCTGCAGAGAGGAGAAGGCTGGGAAGCAGATCGGCTCTCAGAGCCTGAACTTCACAGGGCTCCTGGGCACGTGGGATGGACTCCAGCCAGTGTTCAACACGTGCTGTTCTCTGTGTAAACGAGTGGCCTGACTGGGCGTAGGGCGGTGTTAAGACAGATCTTGATATTTGGTGATTTTTGTTTGCTTTGTAACCTAGGTGGGCTGCTCAGAAAGTCCCTCCTTTAGTTTTCCCAGTTGGAACATGGAGGTATTTCTGGGCTCACAGGTGTTTTATGAGACTGCGAAAAGCTACCTGCTCGAGTGATTGGCTTGTTCTTTTGTTGTGAACAGCGAGTAGCACTGTTGTGAGGGACAGATAGGAATTTTATGCAAGTGTTACGTTTTGGATTTCTCTTGCATCTCAGAACTGCTTAAAAAGAACCAAAAGGTAACAGAGTAGGAGCCATTTAGAGATGTTTTCAGAGTACTGGAGAGGAAAGGGAAAAGAGCTGCTTGCTTTGCCAGCTATTTTCCTAGTTGTTTCTGCAGCTTCAAAACATGAAAATGAAAAATTGATGTCACGGTTCTTATCTTCAGAAAAGCTGTGACTATTAGTTAATTCATGCTTGTAGTGCTCGGAGGCAGTTCAGTGTCACCCCTGTTTTACAGATAGGGGAAATGAGGCAAGATGACTTGATGTTTGAATTGGACCACTGACAAGCACGTTCTACTTTCTGAGCTGTCCTTGGGCTGTGCCATTGGTCTTCTCAGCACCACAGTTAGTTAACAGGACTCTGCAGGGTAGGACAAGGGAGAATCCAGAAAGCCCTTGTTCAAGCAGAAACTGCAGGCGAGCATCAGAATTAGGAAGGAGGAACATTAGACGGAGATTGTTCTGGATGTAACAGTGCTATGCAGGCATGGGGATGCTCAGCACGTACCCTGCGCCATGTCTGCATACAGGGCCTGTGCAGGACAGTGGTTAAAAGACGACTGCTGCTCCTTTGCTCTGGGACTAGCAGCTGCACAGCGCTCCAACAAAAGCAGAAGGCGCAGCTGTTAGCTAAGTATCCCATGTGCCTATGGCTGTAGGGACTAACCTTGCAGAGTTAAATTGCCTGCATGTCTCAGCCTGGGTTTCCTTGCAGACATCCCGGCACTGAGTTTCATCATTTCTTCAGAGGGGAGTGGGTGAGAATGCTATTAACACAGTGGGACATTTGCCAAATAGGTTTAAGAGAGGGAGGCTGTCGTGGTATATAGTTTGCCTATGTAAAGTTAATGCCCTTTGGCGGCTCTAATTACTCTTCAAGGAAAAAAACACTTGAACACAGACCAGCAAAACTGCTTTCTGGACGTGGGCCAAGTTATCGCTTTGGAGTAACTGAGGTGTTGACTGCTCTGTGTAAAGCAGTGCTACCAACCATAGTGCCGAGCAGTCAGGGTGCAAGGAAAGTAGTTGCTGCTGTCCCGTGAATTCTCTGCTGCCTGTGGCTGTGGCACGGGGTCTTCTGTGGCGTGCTCGTGTCAGTCAGGGAACAGCACGTTTTTCCTCAGGCTCTGGCTATTGCCCCACCAATACGTTTCTGTGGCCTGAGGGGACAACACTGAAAGGTTGTGTCCTGGAGCTGCCCTGAAGTTCAGCTGCAGCAGCGTTTGGCTGCCTGTTTAGCAGACTGCTTGTTTCTAAGGAAATGTATATTGATGGTCTCTGGTACTTCTGCTCCATGTCAGTCACTCTCTCTACACCATTCCAGGTCACCTAGTAGATGTGTGTTTGAAGGACCCCACTTCTAATGAGGCTGCGTGGTGGCACTGTTGCTGGATACGTTCAGAGTGACCTTCTGCCCGAAAGCCTGTCCCGTAGCTCTGTACCTTTGTGTCGTGCTGCTGCTCTGACTTGGAGCACGTCTGTGTCCCCAGTCTGAGCACCTATCAAACTTGGCAGTTGTGTGAGCGGATGTCTCAGCTTCAGAGTTCGCTGAGCAGATGGGAGACCCAGCAGGCAGGTCTGCAGCTGTACAGGTTGTGGTCACCACAGTAAGCAGTTTCCTTTGCATTTCTCGCTGGAGATTCTGTGACCAGTAAGGAGAATTGCAGTCTGAAGCATTATCATCCTTTATTTAAAGGACAATCTGTGAGAGAAAGTCTCTTGACTGTAGAATAGAATGAGGCCCCCTATCCCTGTCTCTTTCTTTTCTTTTCCAGAACATTTGCCCCATTGTTTCAGAATAAAAAGAGTTTCCCCCAGTAATCCAGGGCTTCGGCATGCTGATTAGCAGTCAAGTCACTGTTTGCATGCTGTAACACACATGAAAGAGCTGCATTTCTTCTGCTCAAGCTGGACGTGGTTTCTTTAGTGGAAATAAAAGCTTGTGAGAGCAAGGCTTTCCAGACTGAGAATTCAGGGTGCAGAAAAAGAGCTTGTGACAATACCCTTTCTTAAAGCGCATACTCCCAATATGAGCTATTGCTGGGCCAGAGCAGCAATCAGTTTTCATCCTGAAACATGCTCGATTTATCTGTAAATAGAATCCTCCATTACTGTTCCTTGTGGCTGTTGTACTGAGTACCCTTAAAGGTAGATGTTTCTTGGTTTGGGTAAATTGTATGCCAAGTAACATGCTGCTACCTTTTATGGTATAATAATAGAAGAATTATTTGCCTTTTTGTTCCAGTTTCCCTATGTAACTCCAGCTCCACATGAGCCAGTGAAGACGCTGAGAAGTTTGGTGAATATCCGCAAAGACTCTCTTCGACTTGTGAGGTACTGTTATTGCCTGAACCTTTCATTTTATTCAACCCAGCAATCTGTCATCCAGAGCCAAACTGTATTTGATCAGGTTTTGGAGAACTAGCTGAATTCCAGATCCTCGTTGCTAGATATGTCCAGAGGTTTCTGTGTTCCCTTGTGATCAGAGCTTTCAGGTGATTTATATGCTCCTTATCCCTAGACTTGAGCAGTCTGTGTTTCCAAACAGGACCAGCGATGTATCTGTCTCTACAGGACAGCCTAGAGTGGTAAACAAAACCATGAAATCATTGGCATGAATGGAAGATATTCGTCAGGTCAATAAACCCTACAGACAGATTCCTGTCTACATTCTTGTGCGAGGAGAAGCCAGAAAGTAGCTGATTCTGGTGCAAGTCACAGGCCAAGAAGACTGATTGGTCTTGAGTGAAACTTCCTCAGGTTTCTCCTGCTGCCAAGATACAGTTTGGTCCTAGTGTTCTGCATTCATTTAGATGGCTTGTGTCCCATGCATAGGGGAAGGAGGTCTGGATAATCATGGAGATCTGTTACCTTTCATTGCTCTACACTGAGATCTAAAACGGCACTAGCTGGATTAAATGCAACGGCTAGCAATTCGACCTGCGGCTGCCCTCTTTCAAACAGATGGCTGAAGTACAGGGGCCCAGCACACAGGGCTTTGTTTTGGTCTGAGCGACTGGGCAGATGTCCAGGCAGAGCATTTCTCAAAGATCCTTGAGTTGCTTTGAATTCTGCGTTTCAGGCGCAGGGCTGGAGTACTGGCAGGGGGCCAGCTTCAACTCTCAGCCAAGGTGGTTCTGAGAGCATGGCGTAACGTGAGTAATTTGAGTCATAACCACACAAAACCCTCAGTTTATGTGAAAAGTGAAGGTTGGTTTTTTTTGTTTTGTTTTTTTAAATAAGCAATACCTGTGGTTTCAAAACTGATTGAACAGGAAAAGAGGGAAGAACTTCTGAAAAAGTAACCATTGGTAAACTGCTCTGAATGCTGTCTGGCTTTTTCAGCTAAAGGGTGAAGTACTTCTCTAGGAAAAAGTCTTGCTTTTCCTCCCACACTTGCTGTGGAAAGGGTATTTTGTTGTCCTTGCAGGCATCCACATAAGCAGTGTAACATCTCTCAGAAGCCTTGCTTCTGAGGAAGGAGAGGTCTTGCTCTGAATGGAGGAGTTGGTGGGGTTTAGTACATACAGTTCTGTCATTCTGCTTTCTGTGGTTGCATGTCCTGTCCCCCCGAGCAGAGTTGCAGCTCTGGACTGTTTGAAATATAGTTTCCATGCACCTTGACAGTGTCTAGGTTTGCATCCATCTAATTCCTGGTACTATCGGTTCTTTCTCTGCCTCATGAGCTCTCACAGGCTCTTGTGCTGCTGCTGCTATGTTAGTGCTGACGACAACACCGCCAACGTTACTCTATTTAATTTTGTACTGATGTAGACCCAAAATGACATTTTAATTGCCGGTCCGCAAGGGCACATTCTGTCTCGTGCTTTTCTACCGTTCTCGACTAGAGGCTTTTCCTTTCTCCCTCTGTGCACGTAAAGACACTTTGTGCCCTCTCCAGCTTGGCTTATTTGCAACCAGTGGTTGAGGCTTGCACATTCTTTCCAGAACAAGTTAAGTTTAATTGACCTTTAATTGACCTCTGCCACCAAATAAAATGATACTGAGATGAGTGTCTAGGTGTAAAGTAGGTTTTTAATGGTAAAGTCCTCAAAGCTTTTTGGTTTTTCCTTGTGTTTAATTGAAAAGTCATTGTTCACCTGTGAAGAGGGTGTTGATCCATAATTTGGAGTGTAGGGCTTTATGGAGGAATATGAGGAAATGTCCACTCTGGGCTTCCTGCCTGGCTCTGACCAGACAAAATTCTGAGCTTTGTCAAATCCTAAATGTTTACAGCAGCTCTGGAGAGAAGCAGTAAACCTGTGGATATTGGTGTTGAAGTTCTGAGTCTTTGACACCTCGTGTGAGTGCTTGATTTCTAGCAGGATGAGACTCTGAACCTCAGCGGAGGGTAGCATGAGTTTTGCTGTCAACAACTAACAGAAAGACTGCCTCACGTCTGTCTTGTGTCCCGCTTTTGGCCCTGGATTGGAAGCTTTATTTCAGAGCTGAAGTACCTGATAGGCTGGTACTGGCTGTTTACTCTTACCTTGAAAGCACTTCCAGTTGCAGGAGGAAGATCAACTCATGAGGCAATGTGTTTCGTGGAAGAGTTGCGTCCTGGGACAGCCTCTCTGCTTCAGCGTGGGCTTTGGGCTTCAGATAGCATCATGGAACAAAAGCGCCGAAGGAATCAGCAGCTATAGTGGTTTGGGAATGTGTCTGAAGCAGCAGCAATATCATGGAGAGGAGTGAGACCACCGAGCATTTTGGATAAGGGCCTGAGAGGGAGGTGGCTGATAGGGACCGAGGGGAGACAGGTGAGTTGCTGTGAGTGAGAAGGGAAATCCCTTCTATTCCCTCTCCAGCACAGCGGGGCTGACCTTGATCCTTGGAGCTGTTTGTCCCGCAGTGGAGATGGTGAGGGTGCTGGGACTGCCTGCTCTGCAGCCCTGGATAGCGTTAAACTGTGTAGATCTCTGCAGAACCCCCAAATAGGAAAGCCTCCATTTGATGATGATCTCCCCCCATGAAAGTCAATGCTGTGATAGAGATGTCAGCTAGTTCTTACTTCGTTTAATGCCTGCTCTAACACTGTTGTAATGCATATCTCACAATACTAAGTCAAGCAATACTTAGCATTTATCCTGCGTGTCTACTAAGTTGTTGGTCAAACTTTTTAATCTCCTCAAAGGATGAAATCAGGTTCGACTCGACCTATTTCTATAAAATTGTCATGGCTGCTGTTAATTATATTTTTATATTTTAATTCTTTAACAGACAAACAAAAAGTTCCAGCATTTCCATTATTTTATCCAGAAGTGATGTCAGACCAGGTGGCCTCAGCTCCCTTGGTCATCCTGCTTTGCCTTTTTCATCATAACGTTGGATCAGCTATTTGTTCTCAAAGGTGGTCAGTCTCTTCTGCTCTATACATGTGATTGTGAAGGCTATGTGATTGACTTGTGTGCATGACCGAAAGGCACACCTAGCAAAGTCACTGGTTTCTAAATTTGTGCATGCACCTGTGGCCACCTCACGTCAACGCTGTCTGTAGGGCTTGACTAAATGTACACTGTGAACTTCAAGTGCAGGTGGAGACAGAAGAGCTCTTGAACCACCTGAACCACCTCCTTGTCTGCCACGTCTGTTGCAAAGAAAGAAGGAATGCAAAATGTGTGGCTTTGTCTTGTTACTCCCCTGAAGTTACATCCCACCGTTCCTGCACTTTAAGGTGGAACATGAGATGTCTCTGCCTCTCAAAGTATGCACCAAAGTAGTCCTTGCTTGTTCCTTGGTCCAGCTACCAGCTGGCATAGCCGCTTATGCAGTCTGTTCTCACCTGAACTCCTTGCTATGTGGCAGGTGGTTTTCTTAACCTCCAGCACCAGGCATGTTACAACAGGAAGATGTGTACGCAGCCTTGCCGTGACTGTCACCATTTAGGCACGTATACCTTGCCCCCTGCTCGAGTGATGCTGTTCCAGGCAGACAGGGCTCTGACTCTCTTACTTCCCAGCAGATGCATCCTCCAGAAACCTTCTCTCCAGGCACTGCAGTTGGTAGTGGCCCCTCAGTGGTTTCCCAGGGCAACAGATCTATTCTAGTCTCGGTTTAACCCCTTTTCTTCTTGAAAGGATGGAAGCACATTCTGAGTGCTGGCAGGGAGGTGCAGAGGTGAAGTTGGGAGCAGGAGGGTGATCTGGGAACCCGTATGCTTTGTGTGACTTCACCGAGAAGACAAAACAGGCAATGGTTTTACTAATGACATGTTGCTTTTGTGTGATGTGCCCCAACCCCAGGTCTCCCACCTTGTTACTTGGGGCTGTTATAGGTATCTAGATCTGTGTTGTCGATCTGTAACTCATGCATGTGCCAGGCATCTATTTTAATACCTACCTATGTATGCAGTGAGTATAGGTCTACGAAGTAGCCCTCATCGGTGCTTGCCTGGAAGGGGTGCTGGTTCTCCCCCACCCTACTTCTTCTGGAAGAAGTGGCAAGTGTATCAGCCTGGATCCTTCGCTGCCAACCTCGGATCAACGGAGGGCAGCGCAGCAAGAGAGAATTTGCAGGAGCTTTGTGCTGCTGCTTTCTTGGACGCACGCAACACTTGTGAGCGGATTGTTGCCATCTGTGTTCTTGGGTCAGTCCAGCACAAAATGTTGATGCTATCCCCGTGTTTTCTAGGCAAACCTGCCCTGCTGGCTAGTGTTTCTTGTTTACAGCCTTCCAGTGCCGTGATTTTATTCTTTGAATGCAACCAGCTTGTGTGAAAATGCCATCTTGCTTCTATATTGTATCCAGGCTGCTACAGATGCTCAGACTCTAAGTTGGGATTTGTCTTTCTTATACTAGCGTGCTGGGTGTATTCTAGCTTGATTTGCTGTTCTGACCTAGGTGAACCTCTGGCAAGAGTCTTGTTTGGAGCTCTCCAAGTCCTTTAGACAGGAATGCGAATGTATGCTATAGCGATTCACTAGGGCTACATTAGTACAAGTATGGGTGTTAGGTATTTGATTATACTGCTCTTAAATTTTATTTTGCACATTCTGTATTAAATTGCTGAAGCTGAACACTTCATTCTTGTTCAGTGTGGTGTTAAGTAAAGTTCATGCTGGAACCCTCTTAATTAGGCAGCAGTTATTACATCTCGGTGAACTCAGTAAATACGAATTCCCTTGACAATTTTTAGATTGAATTATGGAGGTATGCCTAGCCCATTTCTGAGTATTTTCAACAGTGCAGCATATTCATCACGGCTGTTTGATGAAGGGAGGCCGACTGATACTGTGAAATCAGAGACGGTGCCAAGGTTTTCCTGAATAGTTTAGCTGCTTGGCTTTGACCCAGGCATCGTGGCAATTAAGGTAGTACCGATAGACAAGTGAGGCTGGAGCTGGGCAGCAAATCAAGTAGTGTTGTACACTTCTCAAAGGCAACCTGCTGCATTCACCGTTCCTATGTGGTGCGTGAACTAACGGTGATACCTACAGTCGTAGGATTACAGTGGGATTTGAATTTATGGATGAGAATCTGCTTCTGCCCTGCCAGTGAATCACGTGCATTCTGTCTGTCACTTTGCGCTTCAAGGCAGGGGAGATCTTCTCATGGTGTGTTGTGTCGGCTGCTTGTTCCAGGATCTGCTGGTCTCCCTGGCCGCTCCTGGCATGCCGTAACTCACTGCTCGTCCATGGCCATAGCTCGCTGCCCTGGAGCTTGCTTCATACCACCCTCTTCACCGGATTTGTTACCTGCCTTTTCCAGCAGTAGGGAGAAGGAGTAGTACTGGGCAGTGGTGATCACACAGTGGGATCCAGCTGTACAGTAGCCCATAGCCAAGTTATGGCTCACCTTTATAACTGAAATAACTTCTAAACTCATTCTTGTATTGGTTATCACGCGTCTGTTAAGCAGTTGAATGTGTTAATTTTTGTTCATACAATAAATGTGTGCAAGCTTCAGTCATTAACAGCATCAAAGGTTTAGTTCATGATTTGTCCATTTAAAGGTATTTGAAGTTCCTACACTTGGATGCTTTCTGATCTGAATATCATCTTCTGTGTGATACTGGAGGCCTTTTGTTGAGCATCAGGAGTTCTTTGTGTTACAGAAGCCTTGTTTTTTTGCCTGTCATGCACCATTTCATTTGCAGAGTTAAAAGAATTAGGCTTTAGGCTTCTTAGGCCCATGCAGGATTTCTTTAGCCCAAATACTGAGCCTAATGTGAAGATCTAAAAGGAAGGAGAATGTTTCTTCTCCTAAGGGTTTGACGCTCAAGAGTTCGCTTTCTTGTCTCATTCTGTGTCCTGGCGCTGTAAGGCTGGGTCAGATCCCTCAACACCGTCGTTAAATAATTCACTTTAATAACTTCAGTCAAATCTTGGAAGAACCTTCCTCAGAGGAAAGAACGGAAATCTCCTGGGAAGCCCCAGGTGGAAGCCCATGGTGCCTTGACTGTCCAGAACACCGAGATTGGAGTGCTCTTGTCCTGATTTCCAGAGTGATCTTCATGATATCTCATAAATATACGTTCTAATCCTCTGGCATTGTCTTTCAGGTATAAAGATGATGTTGACAGTCCTACTGAGGAGAATGGGAAGCAGAAAGTCCTGTACAGCCTGGAGTTCACATTTGATGCGGATGCCCGTGTTGCCATCACAATCTACTGCCAGGCTACGGAAGAGTTTGTTGGTGGCATGGCAGTGTAAGTCCTGGGCTTGTGGGTGCGTGGAGGGGCACAGGAGCTCTCAGGTGATGAGCCTGTCAAACATCTCTCATTAATCACCCCCAAGGGCAGTGCTGCCACAGATGGTGGAGAGGGAAATCTCTTCTTTTTCTGTTTGTTTTATATGTTCTGATAGCTTTGAATATTACTTTCACTTCCCTCCCCACATAGCCAATATCCCCTCTTGTTCCCTTTTTGGTTTGGTTTTTGGGTGTGGGGAAACCATTCTGTGTGCAACAAAGGAGAGGAACTCACAGCTGTATGCTTTGTCAGTAAGATGTTCCATGAAATGGAAAAAACCAACCACCCTTCCCTTCGAATGCTACCTGTTCTTTTCCAGATCACCTAACTCACTGGATTTCTGTGTTCCCTGTGACGGGAGCATCTGGGCCACCAAAGTAAAGTTCAGTCTGAAATTTACATAGCGAGTCTGTGGAATTGAGGCCCACCCAAAGCCCCTTTTGGGATAAATGACCACCTCGACACAGGCTGTTGTGAGGTGGCTGTCAGGAGGATTTACTGCCTGAAACCCTGCCCGTGTGTTTCCTGCCAGGTACACATATTAGCCTTTGGCTAGCTGTAGAAAGAATGGTCAAAAAGTCATCCGTGGAGTCTTTCTCATACGCTGGTAGTGCATCCCTACGGATTTCAAAACCTTTTTGTCTAAATCGGCACATTTAAACCATTCCAATCAACACTGTACCCCATAAGACTAGGAAAATTTCCTCTCTGTATTAAGAGCTAAGGTGGCTGAAACGTGCTCTCCCTGGTGCGAGTTGGGTGCACGTGAGCTGCTGGTACATCATGGCAGGCTTCCGATGGCCATGGGACAAAGAATTCTTTTTGTTCTATGGGTAAAGGAAGATTCAGGCTGCAGAAGCTCTTGGCTTCCTCTAGTAGAGGCTTTTGGCTGATCAGCGGCTCTGTGCACATAGTGCTGATGGCTTCTGCAGTGGTGCTCTGGATTTGGGGGTAAACTTACATTTTATTGAAGGGATCCGCAGAGGTTTCAGCGGGGAGAAATATGTATGACAAACCATAAAATGGCTTATGTGTTTTATGCGAAGTATAAACATCCCGCTAATGATCAATGAATAGTGTATTTTTAGAAATGAGACAAGCTCAATGCTCCCATCCAGATTTGCATTCCTCCAAACTGGAGGATATCCTGATCCAGAATTTTTGTTTAGGCCCCTTCTCTTCTTCTGTTGAAGCCTATGGCTGCCTTTGTTTTGGGGAGGTAATAAATTAACTCCTTCTAAGTGCTTGAAAAATATCTCTCGACAAACTCTGAAAACGCTTTCTATTTAGATCCAGTTTTTCCTGAGCAGAGCTGAATGCAGCAGGATGCCTTAGAAATCCTGATAAAGTTTCCGTGTTCTGTCTCTTAGGTCCTTAGGTTTCCTGTGAATTTAGTGCTAGTGAAGGTGTTGGAATGGCAGCCTTGGAGATTGAAGTCCTCTTTTCCTAATACAGGTACAACGTGGAGAAGTGGCCAGTGTCCCTTGTGCTGCCCTGCAGTGTTCCTTGGTTTTTGACCTGAGAAGGAAACCGGCTATGGGCTAATGGGGAGAACTGAGGGCCTCTATGGCCAGGGTGGATGTATTTACATTGCCAGACTTCAGCCATGGCTTAAATCAGCAAGTCTTGTTTTAAATCTTGATTTTAATCCTGTTTTGCATATTCGCTCGTTGGTTTCCCTCGAAGGAGAATTTGTCACTGGTCAGCAACAATGAAACATCTGCATGTACAAGTCAGCGTAAGCTTCATATCAAACTTTGTGCTACATTTTACAAAGAGCTTAAGTCTGTACAGAATATACATATAGTTTAAATTGTATTTTTTCAGACTCCTAGTTTTGCATTTTGTTGTGTCAAAATGGCAAAAGAGAAAGTTTATTCTAAAAAGAAAAGATACTTTTTTTTTTTAACCTGTGTCTTGAACCAAGCTGTGTTGGGGTGGAAGTGCCACTGAATCACCCGAGACCAGCGATGTAGCATTCTTGTTGGTTAAACTGCTCTATGTTGGACTCTTAAGAGACTGTCTTGCCAAGTTGTGCCTTGAATAATAATTGCTTAATGGAAGTATTGTAGTTACCGAATATAACTGTTTCTGGGCAGAGTGTGTTTTCAGTCTTCTGTAACTAGTAGCTCTCCTCTCAGAACTCTGTCAGTTAATTGGAGGAGGAAAACACAGTTTCTGGTTCACTTCAGAACACGTTTTACTGAAATTTAGTGCCGTGCACTAAGCCAGTGACTGTCACCAGTGCTGTTGTCTGTTCTTTAAAGCTTATGCAGCAAACATGAACTACCTAGTTGCTTTTTAAATTTAATTTGAACAATTCCTAGGTAGAGTTTCTCAAAGCTAACACAACTGTCAACTTTGAAGGAAATTTTTTTTTTTAAAATATGAATTTGTTAATCCACCCTGTCCATGGTTCACTGAGAGATGGATCTCTGTTCAGATGGCGGAGGAGAAGCCTTTGTTCATGAATCCTACCTGCCTCTGCACGAAACCAGGATCAGTAGTCAGCAGTCATTACCTCGCTAATAAAATGTAGCTGACGATACTGTGCTGCCCTGCTAGGGTGGCAGCAGTCCCCAGTGCGCTAAACCTTTACCTCAAAAGTCAAAGCACTCGGATTCAGCTCTTGCTTCCACTGCTGGCCTTTTATTTAATAAATCATACTTTAATTTCCCCATAGTATAGGAGTGATGAACTGTCTGTCTCTGCTCTGGAGTTCTTGGGCAATAACTGTGCGGGGTGTGGGGGGCTGCACCAGAAGCCAGGGAACTTTTTGGAAGGCATGATCCTGATTTCATGCAGATGTGTAGGTAATGAGGGCTGGGGGAAGTGAGATACAAATATAGACTTTATAAGCTGCTTTAATTCAACCCAGGCTTTTTTTCCATGTGGAAGTGGCTCACGAAGCACGTCTTGGGGCTAGTGCAGCTGCCCAAAGTAGGCATCTCTGCTTCTCTGGATTTGCTGGCTGCTGGTAAAAACCTTTTGAAGCTCTGATTTCAGCTTTGCAAAGCAATTCTGAAAGGGCAGTGCTATAATTACTTTGATTTATTCTTTTCAAATTCTAGTGGAAAAAAAAAAAATCTGGGCTGCATTCTTAACGCTCTAAGTGGAGCGAGTGCATTTTTAGTGCACTAATAGGAATGCAGCTTCCCCCTGCCTGGGCTGGTAGTTTTTCCTTTTTCTCAAGTTCTTTTGGTGCTAACAGCTATATTCAAGGAACAAGCATGTGCAAACGCATGCACTGTGTATAAATTCAAAACTTTTCCTATTGCTGTGTCCAGCACTTGATTGGGAAGAAGATGCTCTTTAAAACAAAACACTTTTTTTTTTTTTTCCACTCTCCTAAATTGATGCTAAATCCTGAAATGGGAGAAACTTTCTGGACCCTTGGCAAAAGCAGAAATTTTCTCCTAGTCCCCAGCCTGCAGCATGGCTCCTTAGAAACGCTAAACAAGTTATTCTTGCTTCTCTGCTGAAACAACCACTGATCCTGATAGTATCAGCGCTCCTGCTCATGTGAAACTCCTGCTAGGAACGTTGTTATGTTCCTACAATTTGGGGTGAGAGGAGGGAGGGGAGGGAAGGTGGCTCTCCCTGAGCAGAGGCATTGCTCGTTGTAGAGCCTCTGCTCATCTGAGAGCCACAACGCTCTGTGTGTCATGGGCCTGCCTTCAGGATTAGCTGGTCTCCGTGACCAAAGGGAAGCCTTTTCCTCTGCAAGCCAGGAAGCTTCCTCCTGGAGTTGTCTGGGCTCTGTTTAGAAGCTGGTGGCTTTATCAGTACGTGCTGCCCGTCCTAACCTGTCTCAAAGGAGTGCTCAGCAGACTTTCCCAGGTAATCGTGCTGGGAGATGTGCTCAGCTATACCGTTTCCCAGCCAAGATCTTGGGAACACGTAGCTCCCAACTGCTGCCTGCCTCTTGTCCTGAACTGTTGAACTCTGAGTTTCACGGGGAGCTGTATCGTCACCGCTGTGGGACTGCAGTTGACCAGTAAAGTCTGGAGGAGGCAAACGTGTGGCTGTTGGTGATTGTAGAGGTGTCTTCACCTCTGCAGCCCCACGCCCAGGGGAAGGTACTCAGCACTTTCTGGTGCTAGTGCAGATATCTGTAGAAGCCTCTTGGATGAAATGGGAATTAGTTTAAGTCTAGAGAGGATGACTGCTCTCGCCTTCTGAATATCTTTTGCCCAGTTACTTTGCAGTGAGCCTAAAGACTCTCTAGGGTAAAACACATTAGTTCTCAGAGGACCAGCTACTGTGTTACCCCAAGGGTAACAGAGACCAGATCTGCCTATGTCCAGAGTCTCTTTAATGGCATGGAATTAGCGGTGACCTGCCTCTGAACAGCTCAAGACCCCTGATATCCTTAGTTTTATTTATTTTTCTGGTTGTGTCCATTTTCTTTGGTTTTGGAAATGGGCAAACTGTTCCGTTGTGCTTCTGTTTCCTGTGGCAGTCCCCCCAGTGAAATTTAGCCCAGCGTCTTCCCCGAGGATCTGCTCGCATCTTTGGTTAGTGGTGGGTGTGCTCTTGGGGAGTTGGCCTGTGATCTGGCTGGCTTGGAGAGAGTGATATTTCTGTTTGTCCTTTTCGTTCGGTTTCAGTTTCCCGGCAGCTGGGTAGAAAGCAGGGAATACCCTGGTTGGGGAAACCATCATAACAGCTTGACTGCTCACCCGTGAGGACAAGCCTTGTATTGCTCAGTGTCACTGGGGCACAGCAGTACCTGTCAGCTTCAAAAATGTCCTACAAACAAAGAGAAATTTGCTGTCAGAATCCGTGATGCTAACTGGGTTTTAAGACTAGCCAGCCGGAGAGGCAGCTCCGTGCCTACGGTAGAAGCGATTGGCACGTGCAGCAAGGAAGGGTTCAGCCATCTCGGCCAAAAGGCGAAGGGTGACTGGAATGGGCCCTATCTAAATGGCATGAGAATCTCTGCCTTAGCATATAGG